CGGCTTCTGACAATCCTGTAGGTTTGAATGAGATCGCCGCGCAGTTGCCTGTAATTTAGAGGAAACAGATTTAGTTCAGTCAGCCTGGTTTCGTAAGGCAAATGATGAAGATTCTTGACCATCTTCGTAGCCATCGCCTGTACTCTTTCCAGTCGTTGATAATCTTTCTTTAACCACGGTCGCCAGGCCTGGACTGCATACTCTAAGTGAGACCGGACGAATGCCCCATAGGTTTTTCCGAACAGCTCCTTGTCGATCTGCACAAATCCTCGCCTCAGCGCAAATAACACCCTTGTTGCACTTTTGGCTGCCCTTTGACACTGTGAAGATTGTTTCAGCGAGGAGGTCATTAGGACTCCCAGGTCTTTCTGTTCCACAACATTTGAAAGGGACTGACCACCAAGGACATATTGAAAGGAATCGTCCTCCTTACTGGTCTGTCTGGTGCGGAGTCTCAGGACCACACATTTGTCCACATTAAAATTGAGGAGCCCCTCCTTACTGGTCTGTCTGGTGCGGAGTCTCAGGACTACACATTTGTCCACATTAAAATTGAGGAGCCAGCGAGCTGACCAACTGTTTAGGCGGTTGAGACTGTCTTGAAGCGCGTACCTGTCTGCATCAGATCTGATGGATCTCCACAGCTTAACATCGTCAGCAAACATGATGGCGCTGCATCCCAGGTCGTCGACGCAGTCGTTAATGTAAACCAGGAATAGCAACGGCCCTAAGACGGAGCCCTGGGGTACACCACTTAGAACGGGAGTAGGAGTTGACCTTGAGGCCTCAATGCACACGGTTTGCGATCTCCCGGTAAGAAAATCTGTTATCCATGTCAGCATCCTTCCTCTTATCCCAATTTCAGAAAGTTTGTAGATAAGGCGTTTGTGTGGGACGCTGTCGAACGCCTTCTTAAAGTCTGTGTGTATGACATCAACCCTCCCATCCTCATCCAGTGCGCGAGTCCACTGCTCCGTCGAGAGCAATAAACTGGAAAGACACGAGCGGTTCTGCCTAAAGCCGTGCTGCAGGTCTGAGATTAAATGGCCCGGCTCCAGGAACTCCATAGTTGCTTTCTTAACTATGGCCTCCATTATTTTACAGCATATGCAGGTTAGACTAACAGGCCGGTAATTGTTAGCATTAGTGCGAGCCCCGCCCTTGTATATCGGAAAGATATTTGCTGTCTTCCATTCCGATGGCAACCTCCCTAATTCGAATGACGAGCGGAAGATGTGCGCCAGTGGTTTGGAAAGTTCATTCGCCAGTTCCTTCAAGAATTTGGCCGGTATATTGTCCGGACCCGAGGACTTTGCTTCTTTGAGATTTTTCAGTTCCTTTTCCACGGCAGCTGCCGGGAAGAGTATGGAGTCAAGCACGGGACCAACAGTCTCAAGAGAATTGCCGGCACTGCGACAGATTAATAAGGTTACACAAAGAATTTCCATCCGATAGCTTTAATAGCGTAGGAAACTGCTTGAATATCAGGAATCCTCCGATTTCGCCTTAATCCGGCCCGTTTTCTATTTAAGGTACAGATCCGTATCAAACTTTCCTTCAGAAAACGGTCGTTTCGTCCTTATTTCAACTAAATAAACACAAATAACGACACCAAAAATACGCTACATTTTCCACTATAATTTTGACCTCGGCACTTCATGAGTTAGCACAGGTACTGTACGTCTTCGGGAAGCCCGTTGTAGGCACCTACGAGACTCGCTGTGAAAAAGAGTATCTGCGAACATCCAGGCGAAATCGGGATCATTAATAGTAGTGAAAATGCGATTCCCAGGTGGCATATCAAAAGAAGAGGAGGCGTTCACCGTGAGAGGTGTTTTTGAGATCTGACGTTTCGGGTAGTCGTTTCTTCTACCCATCTTCATAGACTGAGCAATCATGCACACAGCGTTCCTTTTATGGTGACTTCGTTTGATGCCTGGCCCACCAACTCCGCCTGTATGGCTGCATCCGACTCGCATGTCACCGTGACCTGAATCCGCCCATTTTCGCGGGCCGCGGCGATAATTGGCGGCCCCGATTGCCCCACGCTGTGACTGTTCCCCGTCAAGAATGTCCGTAAAACCAGATTAGGAGGAAGGCAAATTGGTGTGGCGGTTGACAGAACAGTCGGTAGACATCCAGGCTTCTTGCACCTGCCTTGCTGTATGATCATCACCACGGCCCACAATCTCAACGGCGTCAAAGTTGAAGACGTGTCCCATTTGGGCGGCATGAGTTGCTAACTCCAACTTTGGGCCCAACCTTCGAACGGCCAACTTATGCACGTGCGTGCGCGTTTGCAGTCGTCGGCCGGTTTCCCCAACGTAGTTAAAAATTCTGTAGCTGCACTGAAGTCGGTAGACAACCGCCGACATCTCCTGCTTAGGGATCGGGTCTTTTGGCCGCATCACCTGCCGGCGTATTGTTGAGTCGGGCCAGTGGGCAACGTCTATTCCGAGCGGCGTGAGGCATCTGGCTACGGCTTCGGAGACCCCTTTCATGTATGGAATACGCCGCCACGATTTGGTTTGACTATGTTCTTCATTCCGCTTCCTTGGTTGCTTTCGGCTCCGTTCAAGGAATGTTAGCGGATAGCCGATGACTCTGAAGAGTTCTTGGAGGAGTCTTATTTCATGCAGTTTGGCGACTGGAGTGCTGCAATGAGTTTCCACCCGTCGTATAGCGTGCATACACAGCTTCGTTTGTGTGTAAGTGGGTGGCTGCTGTTGTAATTGAGCATTTGCAGCGTGTTTGCCGTTTTTATGTTAACTGACGTCGCCAGTTTGCCGTCTGGTTGGCGGCAGATGAGAACATCCAAAAATGAAAATTTCCTCTCAACTTCTTCTTCCATCGTGAACTGTAGGTCGGGGATGATTGAGTTCAGTAGTTCTTCATAGTGGCTAATTTTATTTGATCGATGATTACGAAGGTATCATCAACGTAGCACGCCTAAAACTTGGGTTTGTATTCCTCGAACAGTCGTTTCTCGAGTTTTTGCAGAACGGCCTCGGCAATGAGTCCGTAGATTGGTAAATCCATCGGACTGCACTTAATTTGCTCATATGTGGTCCCCTCGAAGGCAAAAAATGTCTCGAGGCAGTGCCCCATGAGTTCTATGAGATCCTGAGGTGTTGACTGGCCATCGCTTTCGTCGTAATTCTGACGTAGAAGGTCACTGAGCGTCTCAGCCGCAAGGACCTGTGGTATGGACGTGAGGAGGGAGACGATGTCAAATAACACCATCCTCTCATTCGGTTCAATCATGACCGCCCTTACTTTGTCGAGGAGTTGCTGTGCTGAGTGCACTGTTGTTTCTGAGTCCGAGGTTAGGAATCTTAGTTTCCGAAACAGCCAATAGGGATCCTCTAAGTTTTAGAGAGTTCCCACGCGGGTTTGTTTTTGTGGCCAGAGTGAAGAAATCGTCGAGGTTTAGGGCACAGTCCCGGTTCCTCAACATCCTATACGCCTGTATGAGATCTCGAATCCGACTCTATTCAAGAGGAAATAGTTTAAGTTCACTTAGTCTGCAGTTGTAAGGTAAAGTCCTGAGGCCTTTCACAACTTTTGTCGCTCTCCTCTGAATTCTTTCTAAAAACTTATAGTTTTTTTAGCCACGGGCGCCACGCTTGGATTCCATATTCCAGATGCGAACGAATGAACGCTCCGTATACTTTTCCAAATAACTCTTTGTCTATGTCAACGAAAGTTCGTTTAATGGCAAAGAGAACAGTGATTGCCCGTTTGGCCGTCCTAACGCACTGAGAAGAAGGCTTAAGAGTCGACAAAATGTTGATCAGAAGATCTCTTTAAAGGCACCTTCCACCAAGCAGGTAATGGTGATTCACTCCACCGGCTCTTCCATTCGTTTTGAGTCGCAGCGCGACGCACCCCTCAAGGTTAAACTTCAGCCTAGGCGATTCAGTTCTTCTGGCAGGGCGCGTTCATCATTTGCCCCGTTGATCGATCGCCATAACCTGATGTCATCGACAAACATGACTTCATTGCAGTCCAGTCCATTCATACAGTCGTTGACATAAATAAAAAACAGTACTGGTCCGAGTACAGAGCCCTGGGGAACTCCACTCACAACTGGCACTGGCGTTGACTTCGCACTACCAATACACACAGGCTATGATCGACCAGTCAGAAAGTCCTTTGTCCAGTTTAATATGTTTCCTCTTATCCCTGACTCTCGGACGTTTTAAAGTAACCGGTGGTGTGGAAAACTATCAATGGCTTTCTTGAAATCCGTGTAAACGATACCGACCCTTGTTCCTTCGTCTAACGAGCGAGATCACCATTCCGTTGAATAGAGCATATTAATTAGGCAGGAGTTATTTCGTCGAAAGCCATGCTGGGAATTAGCAATGAAATAATTTTTTTCTAGGAGCTTCATTATGACTTTTTTTGGCTATTCTCTCCACGACTTTGTAACAAATGCACGTTAGGCTCACCGGCCGATAATTGTTTGCACATGTTCTAAATTCACCCTTGTGATTGGGGTATATGTTCGCCGCTTTCCAATCAGAGGGGAGAATGCCCCGGTCAAAGGATGACCCGAAGATGTGCAAGGGCGGTCTGGCGAGTTCGCAAGCCAACTCTCTCAGAACAATTGCTGGTATTTAGTCTGGACCTGGAGACTTACCCTCCTTAAGTGCTAGAAGTTCCTTCCTCACACCTTCTTATGTGAAGTCGATGTTTTCTTTTACCTCGTCGGTTGTTCTAGCAGGCAATCCAGCCTCGGCAAAGTCCGTTTCATCAGTGAAAACCGATACGAAAAACCGGGTTTGATTTTCCGCCTTAGCGTCATTTTCGATGATATCCTCATTGTTTTCTCCTTTCAACACTGCGACCGTCTCCTTGTTCTTTAACCTACTGTTGATATAACTCAAGAGCACTTTTGGCCTATCGATGGCCCGTTCCATAACTCGCGTTTCATACTCCTTCCGCGATCTGCAGATAGCCGACATTACCTCGTTTCGCTTTCGACGAAACTGCTCGTAGTGAGATGGTTGTTTTGCTGTTGTATACCCTCTCCATAGTTTGTTCTTCTGGTTTACTTATTTCTTTAAATCCCGCGTTATCCAGGCAGGACGAATATTTTTTGACTCTCTTTGTCGGACAGTTTCGATGCATGACGTCGGTTACAACTCCTTTGAGAGTGCTCCAATCAACGCCTGGATGACCGGAAAGAACATCATTCGAGTCCACTGCCGATAATTCCCTTCTAATGGTGGCAAAATCTCCTCGCCAGAAATTCAGCCAATGCCAGTCGTATTCACTTGTTGGCTGAATAGGCGGTATTCCCAAAACAGCATGACATGGTCACTCTTACCGCGTGGTGTTATGGACCTAAACTCGCAAGTGCTAATTGGGTCTTTTGTAAGGACGAGGTCCAGACAATTTGCCCTTTGATCCTTTCTGATCCTGACTGAGAACGTGACGTTATTTTAATAATAATACTAAACATTATTATTACTAGAGAGAGATTAGCCGTTAACTTCAAGAGCCCGGAATTAAAGGAATTTCACGAACCCTTTACTAATAAATTGCTCCAGTCGACCATTGGTGTGTTGAAGTCTCTGGTTATCCGTACCTCTTGATTTTGTGACACCTTTTTAATCAACCCAAACATCGCTTCGCCAACCTCAACAGTTTGATTGGACGGCCTGTTTACGATCAGGAAGTTCAGATTAGGTGTGCCACGCATCCTTAGTTTTAACCACAGTCGCGGGAGCAATCGGTTTTGTATTCTGTCGCGATGACTCCTCTCTTGACGTAGACCGTAATTCCCCCTCCTTTCTTATGCAGTCTTTCCTGGCTAAAAATTTGGTATCAATCGAGTGTAATTTCGGCATCCAAGACTTCTTTCCGGAAGCAAGTCTGTGTGATAGAAATGACATCCGACTGCGTATCTGTTATCCACACTCTCAGCTCCTCTGGTTTCTGGAACAAACTCTGAGCATTTGCATAAAGAAAACGGAGCTTAGCCCGGACAGATTCCTAAACGATTTTTGGGTCAAAGTTGCTGGATATTTCGTGCGAGTTTTCGGGTCTATCGTTCCCTTCTGATTCTACTGCTGTTCGATAGGACTGGATGTTTATGTGTTGGTCGTCGTTTTCTCTGGTTAGCTTAGCAGCTAGGAGCGTTCTTTCCCTATTATCTGGTTGTTCATGATGCTCAGTGTTATTGGTTGTTTCCAGAGGAATGCGCTCCGAACATTTACGATTTTCCATTCAATATTCTTGGGTTTTTCTCGCCGGAAATGTATCTTCTGAGGAGTTCGGCCTTGATTTCCCTCCATTTCTCCCGTTTGATCGGTAAAAAATCCCGATGAAAAAAATTGTAGTGTGGGCATCTCTCAGTGCTGGTTTCCTTTTCAGTAGTAATAGAACGTGCTCCTCATTTTCGAGAATAATTTTAATGGTCTCTGATGGCCCGACTCGCCCTTCAAATCCTTAATTAGTCCTCTTTTGAAAGCTTTCAAGACGGTGGTGTTCCCGTTCTCTTGTAATAGGGATTTGAGGTATTGCTGGAATAATTCTATATCGTAGTTTTTTTCTGTTCTTTGGTATGTCCGAAGAAAACCCAGACATACCCTTTACGATGATGCAGTTATTGCGATTAATAGGTCGTTGTCGTTTATTTTTATGCGCAGAGTTTGCATCGCGAAAATTTTTGTTGTTATCAATGTCCAATTCAGAGACAGTTGTCATGGTATAGCTATCGCAGGGTTCCTCTTTTATCGAGTCTTCTTGGTCATGTGGTACCTCTTGTGGCAGTGAGGCATTCGCTTGCATTCTGTGTGGACTCTGCTCTCTCCTGCTGACGCTCTGACCTATTTGGTCTTTTCGGGATGCTTTGAGACGTCTCCTCATTTTTTTGAGATGTCCTTCGGCTATTTTTCTTTCGCACACGAGACAGGTTCTCGGTTGTGCTTGGGTCCGTAGATGGGGCTGTCTTCCTTTTCAGGGGCTTATACAGTTACTGAAGTCGTATTGGCAGTTTTTCTGGTCATCTTCTGAATTTCCGACATCGCCATCTTTCTCCTTTCGGGTGAACGGTGAGAATTTCTTAGATTCCTTATATCCTTCTCCATCTCCAAGGTTTTCTGAAGAAGTCTTAGAAAATGACGCGCAGGTTTCGTCCTCGTATTTAACATCCAGTAAAATTATCAGACTCCTTGCGCGTTCGGCAGGAGGGGATTCGACAGCAGAAGACTTATCGCAGTAGTCATTTACACAGCCTCTTTCGGTTATTTTATAATTTTTATCAAAATGCCTGCTGAGCGTCAATGGTGCAGTGGTAGCGACGACTTCAGCGTCACTCTTGTGCCCGCGTTCGACACTTGGCCGTGGTGGACTTTTTGCTCAATGTCTGGAGGTCCCTTAATCGACAACCATTATTAAGTCAATAAACTTGAAAAGTTTTTAACGGTATGGAAACGATTTTAATCCAGACAAACTGTATGAAGTAAATAGCAAACGCCACAGCTGTTCTTGTATTTGGAGTATATTGCGATGCGTTTGTCAGAAATGTGGTCGGAAGGAGATAGGTTTTCCGGACGAAACTCCCTTTGCAACTGTGTAAGAATCGCGGTATTGCTATGAAGAATTGACTTGCTAATTCCGACAGGCCGTCAGGGTGTCCAGCACCTAGGAGACTCGGAAAAGGTGAATCCTTCGGAGGTCAAAAATTTCAAACCCAGTTCAGAAGACGCTATCTGTAAATCGCGTGAAGGTAAACTATTGTCTTCTTCATGACACGGAGGTATCTTAGGTAAAGGATCTATCCCCGCAAAACAGGCAATGATATCGACATCACGGTTTTCAGTACCATTTTCGAGTTCATCTGGAAAAGAAGATTTGTCGTAGGATAATGTGGCTGTAGACTCACTTAGAGGATGCCGAAAATTCCTGGCCTCTCTGACTCGAGAAGGATTATCAATTATTGAAGTGAGTGCAAGCGGAGACTGCAAACATGGTGATGAATCTTGGTGCTATGACAAAAAAGGCAGACTAACCGTACTTAATTTGTTTCCTCTAAATTACCGGCCACAGAGCAAAAACCTTATTCAGACCAACCGGATTGTTTAGATATCCTGGGTGTGGCGTACTGCCCGCGGAAATTTCTGATTAGCCGGAACGGTCCGCCTTCCTGGGCACTCTTTTAAACTGGCTCACATGTACCTATAACTGCACATGTTTCAAAATAACTGTTATAAAGGCTGATTATGTTTGCCTTTTGGATATGAGTAGGGAGC